ATTGGTAAATAGAAAATAGTCACGAGATTGTCAAGTCCAGCATAGGAAATATAGTCAGTAATATTGTAATAACTATGTTCGGTGCCAGGTGGACACTGGAAACATCAAGGGGACACTTTACCAAGTATAAAGTATATGACTGTCTCGCCACTCTGCTAAACACCTGAAGCTAATATAAAATAATACTGAATGTCAACTGTAGTTGGAAAAAAAAAAATGTTTTAAACAACTAATAAACACAATCCTTCCAAAGCTATAGATTCGGGGAAAAGACACCCTGGCTGCACAGAGACTGAAATGACTTCTCCAGGTGACTACACAGTGATCAGTAAGAGAGAGGAAAGAACAAAGCAGCAAGTGTCACAGGGCGAGAGGTGAGACAATACCTAGTGGCAGTAACTGAGTACCCAGAGAAGGAGCTCCTGTGCTCCCTTCTTCCCCCACAAATGCCTTCTTAGTATCCGCCTACTGTCCCCACTTTTCCTGAAAATCTGCATGTTCCTACGGGCGGGCGGGCGTGCTCCACGCCCGCAGGGGCCGCAGCGCCTGACGCACACTGGGTCTGGAGCAAGGGTCCAAAGGAAGCTTCACATCATTTGTATAACGATTTAGAAGTTATAATCAAGCTAACTGTTAAATAAGATATCTTCTACCCTCCTACTGTGATACATAGGTTTCCACAGCAACAAAATGTTTTAAAATGTGTGTAAAGCTGTAATTTTTACATGACTGGGTATAAACAAAATACCATGGGCAACTAAATGTAAATATTATTGCCTATCTGAGTATTCTGTGATGGCCCAGGATTATCTGAATGAATATTAAATAGTGATATCCCTAAGTCACGCATTTTAATTATACTGTAACAATTATTTTGTTCTTCCTGGTTCGAGTACAATCAAGAATCATGCTGTTACAATCTAGATTGTCACACAATTCATGTTCTATTGATAGTAATGTCAAATTAGACTACTTTATATAACTCACTCTTAGATGGTTTCTCACTGTTTTCAATTTGGAAAAAACTTCATTGAGTTGAAGCAGTAGCAACAGGAATCGTCAACAAAAATCGTAAGGCAATACTTGGACTCAGAAATAAACCATAAATTTTACATGTCATGTTTGATAATTGTAATGAGGTCACCTGGGTTAAATTATTTGTATCATATAAAATATTAGAAAATATGTTAATCTTATTACTAAAATCACTATCACCATCACTTACAGTGTAATACCTCCTCTCTCTTTTTTTTCTTTTTTTTTGTTAATCCTCTTCCAAGGATATTTTTCCACTGATTTTTAGATAGAATGAAAGGGAGGGAGGGAGAGAGAAGGAGAGAGAAAGAAAGAGAAAAACACTGATTGTGAGAGGGACACATCAATTGGTTGCCTCCCGTACCACCCTGACCAACCCGGCCCAGGCATCAAACCTGCAACCCAGGTATGTGCCCTTGACCAGGAATCAAACCCACAACCCTTCAGTCTGCTGGCTGACGCTCTAACTGCTGAGCCAAACCAGCCATGGCACCTACTGTCTCATAAAGTAATATCTAGACTCTAAATATTCTGCTCTAGATTCTAGAGCCTTATGGTATTTAAGTTCTATTTCTTTCCATTTTTTTAATGTAATATAAAGAGAAACTAAAAATAAGAGTATTTTGTTCAAGTTATATAAATCTCTGTTCATTCAAAATGATACCTTCAACCAAAATGACTAGAAAATAATCCCCATAAGAAATTAATGTCAGGACTATTTATACGGCTCATCTCAAGGCCTGGTATATGATCGTCATTGTGATACCCACCCTCTCTGCCTTCAGTTGGACTTCTTATTCCTGGAATAAGAAGTATATTTCCAGAATCCGAGCTTCATTCCACCCTCTCACTAGATCGGTGGTCTACCTATGTATACAATTCCACAGCTGTTTCTATTCAGAATGTTAAAGAAATGGTGCCCCTGGCCTCCAGCATTGATGTCAGGAAGAACAATGCCATTTAGCATCCAGCTCCCTTATTTGTGGCCCGTGTGATGATTCTGGCAGCTTTCAGAACATCCTTTTCCTTTACATGGCTGGCTCTCCTTTTTCATTTTCCAGTTCTCCATGGATCTCTTCAGGAGCTTTTCCCGATCAGTCGACCAAAGGAGCGCCCACATGTCACTCCCACGTCACCAAGTTTTATTTTCGTCAAAGTAGTTATTGTGCCCTGGCCGGTTTTCTCAGTGGTTAGAGCATCGGCCTGCGGTCCCAAGAGACCTGGGTTTGATTCCCACTAAGGGCACGTACCTCATTTGCAGTTTGTCCCCGGCCCTGGTTGGGTCGTGTGGGTGGCGACCGCTCAATGTGTCCCTTTCACGTCGATGTTTCTTTCTCTCTCTCCCTCTCTCTCTCCCTCCCTCCCACTATCTGAACAAAAAAAAAGTAAAAAAAAAAAAAGTTATTGCTACCTGATACTTTCTTTTTTTACTCTTTTCTATATTGTCTCTTTCTGTTGAGTAAACTATTAGTTCCACAAGAATTAGTTTGCTTCTAAATCCTCAGTGCCTAGGATACTGAGCAGGTGTCCATAAATGTTTACTGAATCAATGAATGAAAGCCTGCCTACTAGCACTACTACCAGAGGTAGAGTAAGAATGGCCCTTTGATGGATATTCCTAAATTATGTAAAACAGGATCATGTCTAGGACCCCACCTGTGTCATAGTGCTTATATCCACTGCAAACATGTCTTCTGGCCACAGTGAATCATAAACCAGGAGCCCCAAAACTTTAAAACTAAAATCATACTGGAAATACCAAAAGGAAAACTATGTAAAGTATATGATTGTCTAACCACTAAGCTGTACACCTGAAACCAATACAAAATAAAATTGAAAGAAAAAAAAAAGAAATTTAAAAAAGGAGACAAAAAAAAAAAAGAAAGCCCTGGCCAGTTAGTTCAGTGGTTAGCGCGTTGCCCACGGACCAGAGTCTCGGGTTTGGTTTCCGCTAGGGGCGTGTACCTCGGTTGCAGTTTGTCCCCCGGCTCTGGTTGGGGTCGTGTGGGTGGCAACCAGTCGATGTGTCTCTCTCACATTAATGTTTCTCTCTTTCTCTTCCTCCCTCTCTCCCTCACACTCTATCTGAAGATAATGAAAAAAAAAAAAATGTCCTAGGGTGAAGATAAAAAAAAAATTATAAAAAAGAAAAAAAACACCATAAAATCAATCTTTTGAGCAATTTCACTTATTTGTCCTCAGAAAGCAATGAACTTGGACCAAATTATCTTCTAACCCCTACAAAAAATTAATATTTATTAAGTGAAGAGTTAATGTCATCATCTTGATTCTAGTGGTGCAGTGACATGAAGAACAGAATTCAGCACAGTACGTAAGAGCACAGCCATTAGCATCAGGGGGCTGCGGTCCTAACCCAAGCTTCGCCGTTTAGAATCTGTGTGTCCTTGGGTCTGTTATTTAACCTCTCTAAGCCACAGTCTTTTAGTGATAACTCTACTTGTCTCCCTGGCTATTATGAGCATCCTACGAGATCATTCATCTAAAGCTTAGGTGTAGTCCTTGAGCATTTAATAAATGTTGTAATTAGCATAAGAAATTACCTGTTTGAACATTTCCATATTCTTTGCAAAACCTTGGCTGAAAGCATCATTCATTACATTGCATAAAATAAGTTTCTCTCTCAGCTCAGTGCAAATACAAGTTGCCTCTTCCTATGCAGTTGGAGAAGTATATGACCATGTTTTCTTCCCAGAAGGAAATTTGAGTCATTTCCATAATGACCTTTTCCAGATACCTTTTTTCTCTACCTTTTTTTTCACCCCCTTGGCTTGGCTGGCTTTCCTTTGGGTTTTATTTTTAATTGTCTTCTTTTATATTGCTTTTAACTTTGTGGCTTATGAATCTGTCATTTACAAGCTGAGTGACCCTGGAGAGATTATTTAACATTTAGAGCTCCACTTTCTTAATATGTCAAGAGTTGTGGACACCAATGACCCTGTCATCCAGCAGCCTTTTTACTACTCACTTCTCCAGGGCATCCATATTCCCTTGTGGCCAGGTGAGGGGCCCAACCCTCTGAGCACTTAGATATCTATAAGTAGACATTTAATTCAAAGTGGACAAAAAAAAAAAAAAGATCTTTGCCAGGAATTTAATTTCCTTTTGTAGCTGAAATGATAAGACATAAATCTCAGGAGTTACTAGTGTCTACGTCTCCCACTTATTTAGGAGTTGGTCCACAGTGAAGAAGAGCATGCGCGGAGAGGTAAAGGGGCTCCTAATGGTCGAATGGTCTCTAGGCTCTTGCTTTTTCTGCAGCTTGGCTGTTCCATTAGACAGTCCGTTCCCTTTCCAATAAATTCTCCTTTTTGCATACATAATTTAGATTTGATTTTCATCACTTGAAACTGAAATATTTCTAACAGGAAGAAAACAAAACCTACTTTGAATCAGTGTTGTAAAAAGTAAATGAGGTAAAATATTTAAGTGCCTAGAATGTAACCTGGCATATAATACTCATTCAAGCAATGATACGTGTTGACATTACTTAGAAGATGGGAAGGAAAATTCTAAGTCAACTAACTAATGAACATAATTTTAATCGCTTACAAATCTTTCTTCTTACAGTTTCAAAATCACTTAAAGGGATTATTTGGTTTCAGATCATGAAAGAATTGCAAAATGAGAGAAATGTTATTAATTTTGCTACATATTATTGTATAAATCTAAGTGACTCTTATATAGTTAAACAATCCTGGAGAATAGAGAAGCCTCGGATCCAGTAACCCACAATTTCTTGCCTAACCCCCTTGTTTAGAGTAAACACACAGAGGGAAAGTAGAAAAAAAGTGCAGACTTCCATTTTACTTATCCCACATGTACAGGAGTAAATCGGACCCATTTAAATGCACAGAATACTGACTTGACTGTATTCACAGCAATCTTAACATAGTGTATGTAGACTGGAGGATCAAGTTAGTGGAAAGAAAATGGGATTACCATACCTGGAGAGATACCACACTGACATCATCAAAATGGATGTGTCCATTAGGCTCCGTGACAGCTGGATTTGAGTAGCATGTCACACCATTGGTGGCGGGTAATGCTTTAGGTTGATGAGTTTTTTCTGGAGAAGGACCAAAGTCATCATTTCTAAAGTGGGTGTGATCATTCTACATGGAGAAATTTACAAAGTAAAAAAGGGTTATAAGAAGACAAAAACGATGGCTCATACAAACAAGAAAATAGAGTTTGGTGCTTCTATCTATGAGAGAAAAATGTTGTGTCTATTCTGTGTGTACCCTAATTTTTAGATTTATGAAATTTCTCTTCCTTCAAACACATCCTCATTTATTAGAGTATTTTTTATCTGTTTTTTTATGTTAGGGTACATACACCTCCTTATTTTATTGAATATGAATAGAATACATCAGTTATTCAATGTTAAATTGTTAGTACTTACTCCAAATTCTACAATATAAATCAAGTGTTTCTCTTACACTTATCAATATGTTGACTCTGTTCTTTGTCCTCACATTTATAAATGTAATATAGGAACAGTTCATGGAATTCTGAGAATAAACTTCCTTCTTTCATTTGTCTATATAAACTAGCTTAGGCAGGTAAAATATAAAAAGTTTAAAATAAAGCCCATTTACCTGACCATATGTCTTTAATAACATCTTAAGCATTCTTTCAAAGGAGAAAAGTAAATAAAAACCACCAAACACAGCAACGGCCTTCTCAACATAGTTGTCAGTTTTGGGATTGAATCCAAATGCCTGGGGAAGGGGGAAAAAAAGGCACTTCAGGGAAAACCAAATAATATAACTTGATTTCTAGTACATAATGCCAACATAACTCAGTATTCAGTTTTCACTGGAGTTCTATGTCCATCTTCACATCCAGGTAATATGGAGAACTTACCTGCCAAAATTGCAAAACAAAAACTCTGAAATTTAAGTAAGCAAACTGTAAGAGATGTCTTAGAAATCTCATAACCAGAGGATGCTCTGGTCAACAAACCCCGAGTATCTTATTGTTTCCCAGCTCTAACACCCCACAATATAGGACACCAAAAGTCCTTGGGTGAGGATCACAGCAATATATGCCTTGAGAGAGGAAACTTTAGTAGTAAAAAAGCAGCACTGGCCTTGGCCAGTTTGGCTCAGCGGTTTGAGCGTCGGCCTGCGGACCAGAAAGTCCTGGATTCGGTTCCCGCTAAGGGCAGGTACCTGGGTTGCAGTTTGTCCCTGGCCCTAGTTGGGGTCGTGTGGGTGGCAACCAGTCAATGTGTCTCGATGTTTCTCCCTCTCTCTCTTTCTCCCTCTCTCCCTCCTGCTCTATCTGAAGGTAAATGCAAAAATGTCCTTGGGTGAGGATCAAAAAAATAATCATCATCAGAAAAAAAAGAGAGAAGCGGCACTGACTCCCACATAAATGAAACAGTATTTGCGTTCTCTAAAAGTAACGTATTTGCCTATCATATCTAGAGTCAAATTTTTAAAGCAAATATAGCAAGCCACTTGGATTTTTTTTCCTAAGAGAGGTCCTCTTGAACCTGATAAATCCTAAAGAGATTGAATAAATGAGAAACTGAGCCCAAGAATAAAAAAGAAAAGATTTAAGATGCACACGCATGCATGTGCGCACGCGCGCTCACACACACACACACACACACACACACGATGAGAATAAGAATTCATTGTTTAGAGTACTTAGGACAAGAACTGGAGTTTAAAATTATAAAGAGTAAAGATATTCCTAACAGACAAGAAACACAAACTTAGAAAACTTCAATATCATAAATGTGGAATCTTGAGTCCACACACAATATCAGCTTTTTAAATTTAATTTGATCCACAAATCAGATGAGTTAATATATATATAATATTATACTATATTAAATATATCACATGTATAATATTACATATAACAATTTTTAACCAGAAAATCTGTATTGTCACCATTAGTTTTATTACTAGCTGATTGTATGGCTATAATCAAGTCATTTAATCCCCCTAGATTCTGATTTCATTTTTAATCTCTATAATTGAGATGACCTTCCTAGTTCCTTTCTAGATATAATGATTACAGTAACAACAACAATAATAAATCTAAGACTCCAAGAAGTTATATCCCCAATTTCATGTATAGCTGTGAAAACAAAAAGAAGCTGTAGTTATAATTTTCTAAAAATTATGAGATGAGGGTAATACCCTGAACTACTATTTTTCTCTTTCTCAGGGCTCACCCTCCCATGATTTTGTGTGCACTGGGGAAGGGGAAGATACATCCATGTGTATATATGTCTCTAGCTCCCCTTTGTGGGTTCCTCCTATTAATGTCTCTTTCTCTTTCCCCTCAAGCATTCTCCTTACTATTTCTCTCTTTCTTATACTCTATGGCAATAATATAGATTTAAAATGAAACATAAATATTATTTGTTGATTAACTGAATAGTGCATTACAGTCAATGTCAGGTCAATAATACATTTTATAAAAGAAAAACAGAAGCTGGTGTTTATTCATTGGCCCCAATTGATTTTTTTTCCACAATGAAAAAGAATAAAATAAAAAGGTTTGTCAACCATGCTCTTACTTAGCCCCCAGACTTCAACAGCTGTAGTAAATATATAAGGGGATTTTGTCGTATATCTTCAACAAAATTTGATATTGCAAGCTCTTTAGAAAAAATAAATAAATAATAAAAGTATGTAAAGAAATTAAATTTTCCAAATGCAGGACAGAATAAAATTTTAAGGCCCTCAGAGGTGTCCCAGAGCCGTCTGAGCACGTCCTGGTGGCTGCCTCCTGGAATGTTAATTTTATCTCTGACGCTGAAAGTCCCTGCGGCTGAAGACAAGTTTCTCTGTTTGCTGTGATTCAGCTCTCTTTTATCCCACCACCATAAACTGGGCTATAAAATTCTGAGAATCATGGCGATGTGTAATGTACAAAGTGCTCAAACATTTTAAAGAAACAATTATTCACAGAAACACAGAGCTAACACCCTTACCTCTGGAATAAGTTGGAAAATTGCATTTGAAAATAGAGTCCCAATAGCCAGCCCCACAAAATAGGTCAAAATCTTGGGGAAGTAAGATTTCTTTATCAGCGGAGTCAAAACCAATCCGAGGAGAGATGCCAGATTAATAATTGTCACTGACAGGAATCCATATCCCCAAACTGTGAATCAGAAGGAAAGAAAGGAGAAGTTAATCAGAGCAAAGAAGCCCAATGAAGTCTTACTCTACATTAAACCTGAAACGTATTTCTTCTTTAAAAGCTTGAAACGGGTATCTTCATTAAAACAACAAAATCATCTCAAAGAAAATTATATAAAAAAATGAGACTACATAGCATAATGAATAGTAATAGAAACACTGCCTTTGATTTCATCAGTCCTGAGCTATCCTTAAGGGATCAAAGAATGGTAGAGCTTGCAGAGAATTTGGATAATATCTAGAATAGTAACCATCTGAAGCCCACAGGCTCTAAGCCACCTAGTTTTATCTATTGGTTCATGGCCTAGTTAAAACTCAGCTTTTCAGAGGAATATAGAGGCCGTGTGAGCTTCAGGGAAAAAGGTAGATGGGTAGCGGTGGGTTAATTTCAAGGTGACCATAGCTGCTGACATTGAGCTTGTCATGATCACTTGTCTGCAAGTGCCTGTAGAAAGCACCTCACTGGCGGAGACTCAGCTGGACTCAGCCCAGTGCAGGAGCACTGGGGACCAGGAACACACATGGGCAGGAGAGAGCAGCTGCTTTGCACAACCGGCCCTGCTGGGTTCAAATTATAGCAAGACTATCCTACACAGTAGAGATCCTGGTGGCAGAAGGAGGTACTGCATCTTTATCTATATTCAGGGCCTGGAACCCAATAGATGCTTAATAAATGTTGCTTAGAATGAAATAAACAAATGTCATCCTAAGCTCTGTAGCTAATGGCATGTGTGACCTCTTGCCTTGGGGCCTCAGTTTTTCCCAGTTATCCTAAAGGGCTTGTTTTTTAAAGACACAAGGGGAATGCGAGTGAAGGTATTGTGAGCCCGGGATAGTCTCCATGGCAGTGCAGGCCAACTACAAATGGCCCCTGACCTGTGGGACATGTGGCTTTGCCTGCAGCCCCACACACTATGCACAAAGACGACGTGAAAGGTTAGAAGACAGCCTCTACATTGCCACTTCTTGGTCCAGAAAACATTTTTAAATGTTGGGCCACTTTTCTCGTGATCGCTATCAGTTGAGTACCGTAGTAACACAATGTGCCAGCCATTGTGCTGAGCCACTAATATGCATTAATTCATTTGATCCTCACAAAACCCTGTGACGTAAGTACTACAATTACTTCCTTCATACTGTTGAAACCGAAGCATATGGAGTTCAAATAAGCTGCCCAAGCCATGCAAATAGAAAGTCATGCAGATTTCAAATCCAAACAATCTGTCTCCAGGGCCCACAGTTTTTAGCAATATGCTTAATTATTCCTATGGAGGTAATTTAATTTTTCAAAAGCCCATGGAGTTCAACAAAGCTAAACATTTTATAATATGCTTTATGAATATAAGACAGTTCACCATTATTTTAGTTCAAGCGAGTCTATCCTCAAATAAGCAACCTTAGCAAAGGTTTATGGAGCTCAGGATGTGAAGTCTGATTCCTGCCAACAAGCAGCTTGAATCTTTAGCTTGGGGAGCTGAGAAATGTGATATCATGCCCATGCACAAAGCAATCTAAGATAGCTTGTGCTGAGTACCAAATGAAAAAATATAGATCATAAATGTTACTATGTTACCACAAGAATCATCACAGCAATAACCATGACTTTATCTTCTCCACTTTCCTATCAGTTCAAGACTCCTGACCATGCCCTACAAAATCATTTCCTTGGACCTACAAAGGTCCACCTTATTCCCATTTATTATCTGAGCACCTAAAACAACACCTACTCCCCTCAGACTTTGCATGTAGAGTCTCAATCCCACATCTTCCTCCATGATATATCCATTTGTAGTTTCCTTAACTTGAATAGCCTTCTATCTCATCACCAGCCTACATGCATTCATTCGTTCAACCTATATGTATAATCTCATTGGGTAGACAGAATACATACATGTTGAAACTAAAATAGAAATGCAAAGTTTTGTAGTACCAAATAGAGGTAAAGCCTCATACACACATTAACCTCATCACCTTTCCCTGAGAAATCCTGCTCCACTACCCTGTTCACTGTCTCCATAAACAGCAGAAATATTGGATCAATTTCAATTGCTCGCTCTCCACCAGTTAATTCCATACATGCTTGGTGACCAAACTCTATCAGCTCTGCTTGAGACCTCCCACTCCAGCTTGTCCAGCCTCATTACCTAAACCTTGAGTCCAGGCTCTCACCACCTCTCGCTCTCTCATCTGATGCAATAGGACAGTTTTCTGTCTGGCCTTCCTCCCCTACTTAACATGGTCCCCAGACTTATCATCCTAAAATACATCTCTGATCATCTCATGCCCCTATCTGAAATTGCCCTTCATTAACTGACTCCCATACAACCGCACCCGTGTTATGTACCCCCTTTCTCAACATGGCCTTTATGAAGACACAACTTTTTCCACATATAGAATTACCTTTACTTGTGGTTCTCTATCTGGAAATATCTTTCCATCTTCGTTGCCTTAGAAACCCACACATGGTTCTCCAAGACCTCCTCTATGAAGCTCCCTGAGCTCCTCCAGGCAGCAGTCTCTTGCTTGTCAGAGCTATTTCACTGAAGGTAATTGGGCCACTTACCATTTCTCATGTGCCACAGTAATCTTGTCACATATCATATTAGTCTGTATCATATAAATTATGGGATGTTCAAGGAGGGGACTATGGTATATTCATCTTCAGTGCCTAGAATGTTGCTTAGCAAATAGCACACATTCCTTGACAAATGAATTAATGACAAATGAAGCCCATATTTCAAAGTGCAGCCCAGTACTCTGTCAAAAAATACCAATTATTCTGCCTATCCAATCTTTCTAACTTTCCTTAATATTGCGCACATTTATCAGAACCACTTGAAGAACTTCTGGAGTGTGAATCATCCCTCTTCTAGGCACTCTGCTTAGTTTCCCCTTCTTTCATTGTTAGGACAGTGTTCAGGGGGAAATCTATCATCCACTGAACTAGGGCATCAAAGAATGAATTCGTATAAAAATATCCCTTGGACCGCTCCCATATACTCGTAGGACTACGACTCCCTCTAATGACGTTCTACTTCTTAGTCAACTTGGAAAATTTTAATAAATTTCCAGGGAATATTAGTAACAATAGTTCACATTTATTGAATGCCAATATGTGCTCAAATTGTTCTAAAAGCCTCACCTATTTTGTCACTTAATTCTCCCATTTCATAGATTTTTTTGACAGGAAGAACACAAAGCCAGTTAGCACAGTCCCTGGAATATAGTTAAGTCTTCAATAAATGTCATTATTTTTAAAAATTAGTAAGTAGAGCAGCATAAAATTCTAGTTCATTTAGCTCACTGTGACACAGCGAAAGAACAACAGACTAGGAATTAGGAGTCCTGGACCTTCCTCTCTCCTCAGGTTCTGTACCCAGAGAAAGCCCTTTAATCTCTCTGGAGCTAAAGACTTATGTCATCAGTTGTATTATGGAGTAGGACTATCTGATCTTCAGGGATGTTACAAGCAAAATTCCATTATTATTATCTATTATTTGAATTTAAGAACATTCTGTAACAGCATCCAAAAAATGAAGCAATTTTGAATGATTAAATCATTGCTAAAACTTAATTTACCTCCTAGAGAATTTTACTATCCATTTATTACACTTATCAATATGAGTTTATAAAGCACCTGAAAGGCAATTTCAAAATCACAAAACGTGAAGTCTATGATAAATGAAATTGATATCTGACCACTGAAACATAGGTGCAAAGGTGTTCATAAAACCCTTATATTATGACTTTTTTGGATTACTTTTATTTTGATTTTTCATTCCCTTGAATGAACTCAAAATTGACTCTATAGTAAATGAACGATTATATCAAGAATCCAATGCATTTCTTTCTTTGAAAATATATATTTCTCACCCTGGCTGGTTTGGCTCAGTGGTTTAGAGCTTCGGCCTGTGGAATAAAGAGTTGTGGGTTCGATTCTGGTTAAGGGCACATACCTTACTTTCAGTTCAGTCCCTGGCCCTGGTCGGGGTCATGCAGGAGGCAACCAATAGATGTGTCTCTCTCACATCGATGTTTCTCTTCCTCTCCCTCTCCCCCCCCCCACCCCTTCTATCTGAAGATAAATGAAAAAATATCCTCAGGTGAGGATTAAATATATATATATATATATATATATATATATATATATATATGTGTGTGTACACACACACACACATACATACACACACATATATTTCTCTGTGGGGAAAGAATGGGCCTACGTGGGCCAGGGAATGAAGTAAATCTTTGAAAACATGTATAAGAGTGAAGACATGTGCTTTCTACTCTGTGCCAGGTGCCGTTCTGGGCTCTTGCATATGTTAACTCATTTCATACTCCCAACAATTCTATAAGGAGGGTATTATTCTTTTAAAGATGAGGTAACCGAGGCACAGAAACATTAAAGAAGTTGCTCAACTTCACACGGCCACACTAAAACAATGAAGATATTGCACCTCAACAGGCATTGTATTGTCAAATTAAACATTCCCTATTAGTAATAACAAGTACTGCACTCGTTTCCCTAGTTCTGCAGGAATATTTCTATATCTCCTCCCATCCCTTCCACCCACTCTAGCTCCATCTGAATTCCTAAGATAATGGGCACCTGAGGGGGTATCTTTCTCTTTTTGGGGTTCTCTGATATTTGGTACCTTGTTGGAACTGTTGATTTTTCAATTTTATGGCTTTGGGATGATGACCCTAGAATTCTTTCTCTTCCTGTTTCCACTTCCCTGTTCCTATCTCCTGGTTCCCGAGATAGAGTGAATCTGAGAACTGGGATTAAAACAGTTTTGAATGTTAGTAATTAATGTGCACAGAGTAGAGGATTTGCTTTTTCTGAAGCCTCACATCCTGTACTCACTATTGTATACATTATACATATTTTATTTTATATATATATATATATATATATATATCCCCATGCCAGATAGCACTCTAAATGCTTTGCCATTATTAAGTCATTTAATCCTTACAGCAACCCTAAGAGAAAGGTACTATTTCAGATGAGGAAGCTGAGGCAGAGAGACAAATAAAGGTATGTACCCATCATAGCTAGAATATTACAGAGGTGGGATTCAAGCCCAGGTGGGCTGACTTCAGGATCTCTGCTTTTATTATGCTGTACTATTAGTAAATGTTCGTGTATAAAGCATTTACTGAATTTACTTTTGAATGTAAAGTTAAATAGACTTATAGAAATACATACTCCCATTTAGTACACATTCCATTAAAAATATTTGTTTGAACTGGCTCTAAAATTATTCTTATTCACAAAATTGATGATTGTACTGATAAAGTATACTTGGTGATGTCTATTCTTTGTATATGTCAATACAGAATATAAAAATAAGAACATGGATTCCAAAGCCAAGGCAGCCTGGGTGTGAATCTGGCTCTATCATGTACAAGTTGTGTCCTCCTGAGCACATGACTTTAAACTCTCTGTGCCTCGGTTTCTTCAGCTATAAGATAGGAAGAGCGGCTCCTGCATTACGTAGTTGCATGAAGATTAAATTAGTTGGCATGCATAAAGTACCGGCGTCATACCTGCGACATAGCAAGTGCTACATAAGAGTGGACTCTTATCATTACTTTTATCCTTGTTATTGTTATTTCTGTAGAGACTGAAGTGTTCATATATTCAAAAGGAATTTAAAGTAAGTAAAACAGGCACTCTCTTTGTCAGGGCTTCCCTTTTGTTCTCTATCTTTGCCCTCTTTATAGTCTCTATTATGCTCGTGTTAGATATACTCACTCAGACCAGTGGCTTCAACTGCCGCCTTTAAAATGACACATCTCTCACCCTGGCTGGTTTGGCTCAGCAGTTAGAGTGTCGACCCGCAGACCAGAGAGTCCCGGGTTCGGTTCCTGCTAAGAGCATGTACCTCGGTTGCAGTTTGTCCCCGGCCCCTGTTGGGATCGTGTGGGTGGCAACCACTCGAAGTATCTCTTTCACATTGATGTTTCTCTCTCTCTCTTTCTCCCTCTCTCTCCCGCTCTATCTGAAGATAAATGCAAAAATGTCCTCGGGTGAGGATAAGAAAAATAAATAAATAAAAATAAAAATAAAATGACATGTCTCCATCCTCAACCTGTTCTTTGAGTTCCAAATGTGTGCACCCCACTGCCCATGGCCCATTTCCCCTTGTTGGTCTACATCAATGTCACAAACTGACCACGTCAAAAATCATACTCTTGATCCTCATCACTGACTTCCTTTACAGAAAACTGCTCCTCCACATTCTTCTCCATCCTGGGAAATGGCACAGCCATCTACCACTTTCAAGGACTCAAACCTTAGTTCATCATTCCCTCCCCCACATCCAAGCCAGGCAACCCATTTTAGCACGGTCTCTGAAATCCATCCTCAGTCTCATCACTTCTCCTCACCCCTACTTCCACCTTAGCTCAAGCCCCCATCATCCTGACCAACAGCCTCCTGACCAATCAATCTCCATGCTTCTGCTCTTCCCCATCACCATCTATCCTTCAAACTGCAGGTAGAATCACCTTTCACAAATGCAAATAAAATCATGTCACTCTCCTATTTAGCACCCTACAATGTCTTCATGCCACATTCAGAATAAAATCCAACCAATTTACTGCACACTACAATTCCCCTGGGTTCCCCAGGATGTCACCTCCTTCTGTTCTCCCTCCTGCTCACTATGCTCCAGACGCACAGACATTCTTGCTGTTCTCTAAACATGACAAGTACATTTTTAAGCTTATGTTGACTGTTCCCTCAACCTCGAATGCTCTTCCCCTAGAGGAGATCTCACCATGGCCCTCTCCCCATCCATCGTCAGGGCTCCGTTCAAATGCAGTCTCATCAGAAAGACCTCCCTTTATTCATCTGAATTTATTCACCCACTATCTTTTTTTGTTGTGACCTACCTTATTTTCTTCAAAGCATTTATCCCTCTGAAATCCTATTATGTATTTGCTTGTCTGTATAAATGTTTATTATGTTTCTTCTCCACTACGTCATAAACCCTAAGAGGGCAGGAAATGTTTCTTCTTGCTCACAACTGAATCTTCAATACACAAAACAGTGCCTGGCTTGTCATTCAATAAACATTTATTTAATGAACAAATAAACAAAATAAGGAGAATTAAAATACCCATGTGGGGCAGGGTAACAATTTGGGAATACCAAAAAATGGCACACAGCTAGCAAATAGACCCCCTGAAGAATGGGTTATCTCATTTGTGAAAGAACTCTTCACGTTTAAGTATGGGAACTGGGTTATGTAGTAAATGGGCACTTGTTTTCTTATATTTTTAAAAATTCTTGGCAGCAGATTATTTCCTTAAAATGCAGTATCTATGGCAGTACCATTATAGGCACTTAAAACAGCCACTGGCATTTTCTTTCATTTATGAAAATTACAGTGATTCTAACTCAAGATTTAATCTAGAGACATGCTAATTCTCTTATCCCTTTGCTGACACTTAATAGATAAACTGATCAAGTTTTTAAAAATATAAGCACAACATGAAAGAAATTAACTGATCAATTTTGAGCCAGATAGATAATACATAATCCAATGTGCATAGCATAAAACCTATGCTGAAAAATCACGAATTGGGTTTAAAAGAGGTTTTATGTGGTACCTAGTAGAATTCTGACTCTACAACTGAAGAGCATAATTTATGAAGCTTAAATGAGCTCTAATTATTCTTCTTCTAAATACTTCCAGAATATAAGTACTCTACAGGGGATTCTGTGTAGATTAATAAAAGCAGAAAAGGAAGCATGTTACCTGCACTCCAGACAAGAACATAGCCTCTTCAGACAAGTGGGAGTACACGCTCCCAACATACCTTCGGAATGACTGGGTTTGGTTTTGTGTTTGGCCCGCTCATCACAGGGGTGAAAGCTCAGTTGCTGGAGGACGGCTGGACAGATGACGGAGAAGTTCGAGCTGGTTATCTGGGTAGCATTTGAAAAGCCATGAAGGGAAAATATCTCTTCGGCTGACAAACACTGAAACAGAAAAATGAAGTAAATATATCTGTGTTAATACAATGAAAGCACTCAAGCAAAGACACTATATAAAGAGACATTGAATATTCATCTAGACACACAGCACTAACTCTTTATACAAAGCCCACTACAGAAACGTAAAGACCCCTGAACTATAAAATAGTCCACACCTCTTTTAACCTAGAAACCAGAAAAACAGTATTAAAAAAAAACTTTCTTGAGCAACCGTCTACCTATAGCAGCCTAATAGGTAAGAACTGGTCTGGGGACTTCCAAGGACTTTAAAACAAACGGGCTTTAAGATGATTCAATATTCTCAGTCTTCCCTCTCTGTTTTTCTTTGTTTGAATGAGTATTTTTGTGTGAGCTATTGGAGTGACTCTATAACATTTCTTGTGAACAAACACCAGGCTCCCTTATAGTTTCGCAGGTAAGAGTTTCATCCATCCCCCTAAACAGCAATAATAGTCTCATTGTATAAAAGCTGTTTTGAAATACGCCTTTACCGCAAATGGCTAAAACATGTACTTTGCTCAATGATGGTGGGTAGCTTTTCTATATTATATAAAGTTTTGAAATAGTGATACGCTGTTTAGAAATTCATTAACTATTAATGAGAAATAGAATATCCATTAGGAAATAATTCTCTGCAAAAAAAAATATATATATATATATCTTTTTAAAGATACTATTTTACTCTTGGGAAAAATCTAACTGTAAACTATTTTCCACATACTCACATTATTTAAAAGAATATAAAAGAAATTAAATGTGTTTCTATTGCTAATGAATGTTATAAGAACTATAGAGTGTGAAAACAGCTATTTACATAAATAAAAGTGTCTATTTTTAGTGCAATTGAGAGCATTTCCTTGCATACTTCAGCCAATATTTAAACCCTATGAGATCTTGGATTTTTGCTCAATGGACTGGATTGTACCCTCCTAAACTTCATATAGTGAAGCCCTCACCTCCAATGTGATGATTTTTCGAGGTAATTAGGGCTAAATAATGCCTTGAGGGTGGGGCACCGCTCTGATCAGATTAGTGCACTTCGATAAAGAAACACTACTTGCTCTCTCCCCTGCTCTGCCATGTGAGGACACAGCAAGAAAGCAGTCATCTACAATCCAAGGAGAGAGCCCTAACCAGACACCCATCCTCTGTCACCTCTACCAGTCTCCAGAACGGTGAGAAAATAAACACCCAGTTGCTTGAGCCACCCAGCCTACAGTATTTTGTTATAGTAGCCCATGCTGATTAATACACTATGAATAATATTGAGAACTCAAAAGTTTTTGTTAATTGTTTGACCATCAGTACTAGAATTGTAGTCACAACAGAAACAATGAAACTAAAAATGTAAAATGTTGATAAAAGATGATCATTGTTGATTATGAAGGAAAGACGGAAAAAAACATCAACTACACCAAGATGCTTGGAGTTGTCAAAAGGTAAGAGTGCAATTGCCTTAAAGAAAATACACAGTTAGACCTTTTTGTTTTTAAGTGTCTGAGTGTGTACATACAGCTGTTTCTTATTCGACCCATGCTCTCCTTTGGGTTCATGGCACTGACAGCTGGGTGCCATCCCTAGACGAGGAGACAATACACTTGATGCTTTGTTAACAGTCTTCCCTTTGGTGAGAATAGGGGATAATAAACTAATGAGGGGAGAAAATAGCTTGAGAGACAACTCGGGGAGGCAAAGTGGGTATAGTTTATTCACTACCATGAAACCACAGAGGAGCATAATTGTTAGGCTCAAAAATTACAGAGTCCAGCCCGGCCAGTGTGGCTCAATGGATTGAGCATTGTCCCATGGACCAAGAGGTCCCTGCTCAATTCCCGGTCAGGGCACATGCCCGGGTTGTGGGCTCCATCCCCAGTAGGGGGCGTGCAGAAGGCAGGTGATCGATGTCTCTCTCTGCCTTTAGATGTCTCTAAAAAAATCAATAAAAACATTTTTTTTTTTAAATTACAGAGTCCATGTGGTCCAAATGCCCACTGCACGATTCCAGGAATGAATGGATGGAGCAGTACACACACAAAGCAGCATTGTGTCCCTGCAAGGAAGTCTTAACCTACTTGGACTTTAAGTTCCTCCAACTATAAAAGGAAAAGGGGAAGCTTCCGATAGGTAATTTCCAAAGCCTTCTCAGAAATAATATTCAAATCATCCTAAAACTTCGTGACTCAAACTCCATGAGTCTTACGCAGTTCTTTTCAGACTCCAATTGTGACATTTTGGTGGTCAGGAAATTCATTCACAGTCAGCAATTTGTAGGAAGTTAAAAAAAAAACATAACAGAAACGTAGAGTATATCACACAAAACTAGCATGAGTACTGCTTAATTAAGTTTTCCTTCAGCTACACATTATACATTCCATGCACTTGTACACGGGATCACAATGCAAAATTTATTTTCTGTGAGCTGGGTGAAAAGGGTGAAAGGACTGAGAAGCACAAATTGGCAGTTACAAAATAGTCATAAGGATGTAAAGTACAGCATAGGGAATAGGGTCAATAATACTGTCATAACAATGTATGGTGTTAGGGAGTACTAGACTTATTAGGGGGATCACTTTGTAAATTATATAAAAGTCCAACCACTTTGCTGTACACCTGAAACTAATATACTATTAAATGTCAACTGCTTAAGTAAAAAAAAAAAAAAAAAAAATTTAGTTTAAAATAATTCACTTTTTACTATAAATGGTGGTCAAATGTTTGAAAGCCACTACCCTGAAGGGTGCCCAAATGGCCTGTTGTACATCCTTAAAGACACTCTCTTACATATGGTTAGGGAAAAAAGATAATCAAAGGAATAAGTAATCAATACAGTAAGTTAGCTTAGAGTCTTGATGATGTGTGCAGCATCTGTGTGGAAATTTTGGTTGGGCAGGTACTCATGGATAATAACACTTTGACAGCGGCAACTGCTCAGTCTCAGAAAAGGGTAAGTAGGTAGAGAGATGACAACATTTTAGACCTTGCTTTATGATATGAGAATGGGGATAGAATATTAAGAAAATACTAGCAGTATGGCAAAATAAAAATATGGCAGGCCCGATTTACTTTAAATAGCTATCTACCAGCAAGTAAAACACATAACTTCAATTTTATTTTATTTTATTTTATTTTATTTTATGTTTTATTTTCATCTTTTGACTCCCTTCACCTATTTCTCCCACTCTGTACCCACCTCTGGCAACACCAATCTGTAATCTCTGTCTATGAGCTTGATTTTGTTTTGTTTGTTTTGTTTTATATTCTACACGTAAAAGAGATCACATGGTATTTGTCTTTTTCTATCTTATTTCACTTAGCATAATACCATCAAAGTCTGTTCACGTTACACAAATGGCAATATTTCAGTCTTCTTTATGGCTGAGTAACATTCCACCGTATATATGTGCAACCTCTTCTTTATCCATTCATCCATCAGTGGACACTGAGGTTGCTTCTGTATCTTGGCTATAATAAATAATGCTGTAATAGACAGAGGGGTGCATATCTCTTTTTGAGTTAGTGTTTTTGTTTTCTTCAGATAAATATCAAGAAATAAAATTGGTAGTTGTATTTTTAATTTTTTGAGGAACCTCCATACTGTTTTCATAGTGGCTGCATGAATTTACATCCCCACTAACAGCATACAAGGGTTCCCTTTTCTCCACAAACTCACCAACACTTGTTATTCTTTTTCTTCCTGATAATAGCCACTATGTGAGGTGATAACTCATTGTGGTTCTGATTTTCATTTCCTGATGATTAATGATTTGAACAACTTTTCATGTACCTGTTAGCCAACTGTCTTTCTTCTTTGGAAAATGTCTATTCATACCTTCTGTCCAGTTTTTAGTCAAATTATTTGGCTCATTTTACTGTTATGTTGTATGAGTTTTTCTCCCATTGATTAAGTTCCCTTTTCATTTTGTTGATGATTTCCTTTGCAGAAGCTTTTTGGTTTGATGTAGTCCTTTATTTTGTTTTCTGTTGTTACTTTTACTTTTGGTGTCAGATTCAAAAAGTTATTGCCAAGACCTAAGTCAAAGAGCTTACCACCTATGTTTATTCCTAGGATTTTTATGGTTTCATCTCCTAATGTTCAAATATTTAATCCACTTTGAGTTCATGTTTGTGTATGGTGTAAAATAGGGGTCAAGTTTCACTCTTTTGCATGTAGCTCTCCAGACTTCCCAACACCATTTATTAAAGATTGTGTCCTTTCCCCATTGTATAGCCTTGGCTCCTTTGTAATAAATTAATTGACCATATATGCATGATTTTATTTCTGGGCTTTCTATTCTGTTCTGTTGATCTGTGTGTCTGTTTTTATGGCAATACTGTACTGTTTTAATTATTACAGCTTTGTAATTATAGTCTGAAGTCAGGGAGTGTGATGCTTCCAGCTTCGTTTTTCTTTCTCAAACTTGCTTTGGCTATTTGGACTTTTTTGTGGTTCCATACAAATTTTAGGATTATTATTTTATATTTATGTAAAAATGCCATTGGAATTTTAACACATTGTTGACTGGCAATTTTAGGCAGAAGTTATCTCATGTCACTGGCTATTGTTTGTAATTGAGTATGATAGTGAAACAATCTAAATAAAACTAAATAAACTTCAGTATATGTCTTCAGTGTATTTTATTTATACATAATGAATTTAAATGAAACTGTGTACATATCTGCTACATATTATATTTTATACATATTATATATTTTGGTAATTTTTTTGCTGTGGTATACTGTATAGCAATCACCTACATGTAATGGTACGCAACATGTTTTGCAAATACATCTATCTGGTTTCACTGCGCTTCCCTTTTGAAACACACACTTTACATGTTCTAGTTGGATTTTTTTTTTTTTATACTAGTGACTATTTTTTCTAAAATGGTCTCTTAGTTGCCCTGAAAGCCTAAAAGGTGAATCAATGTAAGGAGCTCTTCAGAAGGACCAGAAGTGTTAGGTTCTGAGCTGCACTCATTTGAACC